TGTTCTGGTGGATGACAAGGAGAATGGACTCTGACTTTGAGTAATCTGTGGAAGGGAGGAAGGAGAGATAACTCTCTAATTTTTTGCTTCCCATAAATCAAAGTTGACCCTTTATGGGAGTTGACCCTCTCATATTCTGAGATGCATCATGTGACTCTTTCTGTAGAAGCTCAGAATATCAAATTCTCTCTTGTGATGTGGTGTTTCATCAAAATTTGGAAGTAGAAGGAGGAGGCAGAAACCCTGACCATGCAGTTTATTGATCTGCCTGTGCACAGTCAAGGGTAAAGGGCGTGGTAGTCCCTGGTCAAGTGAACAGTTGGAATGAGGACTGAGGAGGACTTCAGTGAACTTCATTCAATATGGCAGCTTCAGAAGTAAGCCAGTGTTGAGAAGGCTACTGGCAATGAAGGATTCTGAGGAAGTGCATAAGGTTTGTGTCTCAAAAAATAACCTGGAACTATAAAAATAACTACCAAGCAGTATCTAGAGATGAGTAAGACTTATCACTAATTCTGTCAAATGTAGGTGAACACAAAAAAACATTATTTTAAGATGAATTTTAAAAATCAGACATTTTTCTCTTATAATCAGACTAAGTTAAGTTTTACACTCATCAACATTTTGTGTAATCTAACTCTTTGTTATGTTATTTGGATCCTTTTTCCTGCATTGGCATTCATGTCACAAGCTCTACAATTAACATAATGAATAATTTTGTGCTTTAAGTGATGTAATAACCACATGCTGGGTGAAAAATGGTAACAGCATAAGGATATCCAGCAGAGCTTCCATAATTCAGTTGCAAATTTTGCAGGAAGTAGTGTATAAGATTAGTGCTTTTTAATTTTTTTCTTATTTAAACTAACAATCAACTTAATTCAGACCCCTAAGATTCTATGGCATGTTCATTGGAAACATTTTACATCACTATCATGGCTTTTGCTATTGGCAGGAAAAATGTCCTTTAAATACAAAGTGGTGTCATAATTCAAGGATTCATTCTTTCTGCTTTTCAGTATTAACCAACAGAGTTCATTTGGGGAAGAGAGAAATAGAGAAGTCCTGCTCACAGTAAGATCTGTTTTCTCCCTCCATTTTACTGTTAAAGATTTGCAGCAAAGTCAACATATTTGCAAGGAACTCTGGTTCACAAAGGGTATGAGAGAATGGAAAATCATGTTTTCTCTTGACTTCATATCATCAGGATCTTCTGGTGCAGGGAAGCAGAAGAAATTCTCTGCTAATTTGTTGTGGAAAAAGCCAGTCTGGTTCTCCTTCTTGCCCCTGTTCATCCCACTGAACAGTAAAAGTAAAATATTACCAAAGACAGAGCAAATAAATGATTATCCCAGTTGTCAGTATGAGGGTCTGCTATTCAATGGACACAAATTAATGGCAGATTTACTTAAAGGCTGATTTGCCAAACAAAGTTAATTTAGGGACTTTTGATTAATAAAAATTGTTATCACTTAGTGAATGCTTTTTTATGTGCCAGACAGTGTTTTAAGTATTTTAAAGTAATTTTAATCCTCTCAGCAGTCCTAAGGGCTAAGTACTACCATTACCCTCATCATATGGAGAAGGAAACTGAGACTCACAATGCTTAGGTCACCTCCCTTAGGCCACAGGCAGCCTATAAACTAGAGCTGCAATTTGAGCAGTCTGGGGCCAGCAGCTTCCTGTTAGCTAAAAATGATGGTTTGTCACTCCTAACACTTTAAATGATATATACATGCATGTGAGAGTGTGTAATATGAATATGAGTGTATATGACTTCTTGTTTCCTTTATTTGCTCAGTTAATCAGAGAGTAATGTAAATCAAAGGGTACATATAAATCAGGAACGGAATCTGAGGTACCCTGAAATTATCCTTTCCTCAACTCCCACAAGCTTTATATCAAATATGTTAAGGAATCTACCTCCTTGTCCTTCATAAATGTACTCAGGTTTATGAAACATGAAAAGTGACATATTGTTTATGAAGTCATTTAATCACTAACATATCTCCTTTCGCAGATAGTGAGATATTACTCCAGCTGCCAGGAAAGTTAATAAGCTCATAACTAAGTGATTGAAAAAAGCTGTAATACATCTCTAACTGTCTCATCGTACAAGGTAAATAAGCTAAGGATTCTCTCTTGACACTTATAGGGCTGCCTGGAGACAGAAAGCATCTCCTCCAGGTTCTACCAAATTTATTTCATGTAAATTTTACTGGCTCTTGCCAGGGAATACAAATTTAGAGGACAGGAGATTGAGGGCTTCAAAACACTTTACTCTTGCAATCTGTCCCCAGAATGACTCCAAGCATGAAACAGAAAATGCTTCTAAGATTTAAGATGTGCCCAAATTCACAGTAAATCCATCTCTGTCTCCTTCCATCAGGCATTCAGAATCTTTTCTGATGTACATCTAAGTTTTAGATGAGTGTCAGGGCATCTAGAATCAACTAGTTGATAATTGGAGTTATAAGGATATAGTCACACATTATTTACTTTTCTTGGTACAGGTTTAAATTCCTTTTTTTTTGATCCTTTTTTTCTAACTTCCAACTTCTAGGTAAGGGTTGGCCGTATCTCTGCGATTTGTGCAGTGCCCAATTCTAGGATTTGCCTAGACTTACACACAACTGTATTATGAGCTTACTCATTTCCCAGATATCAGTATGAGGTTCCCTTGCCCAAAATTATCATGTCAGACTAACAATACACGCAATGCAGTTCACTTGAGCAGTATTAGAATCAAGCTGGTGGCTGAAACCTTTCCCAGCTGTTGCACTTGTAAGTTATAGTTCAAAATAAGGAACTCAGCTTTATCATATGTCTAAAGTAAAATAAGCAATTCTACTAACTTTTATTGAGCAGTTGCTTTGTGCTGAGTGCTATTTTGGTTCTGATATTGCTGATACTTGGAGAAGAGAAATATAAATGATTGCATTTGTACGAAGCCTTCAATCTTGAAAGGAGGCACCCAAGGTCTTAGATTTGATCTCTCATCTGGTAGGAGTGCTAGTTTTGTCTTAGCCATATTGCCGAAACCTTAAGCACCCAAAGGACTTATGATTTTTCTGTTTACTTTGATACTCAATGTGCTAAACTTAAAAATATATTAAATTATTCCTCTAAATATTTAATACTGCTTGTCTAATTAATAAATAAAAACTAATATTTTATAAAGCTCAATCTGTTAAGAATTTAAAAATTGCAAACTTAACTGGTCAAATTCTTCTAACATCAATAAAATTGAATCTCACATGCCAACTTCTCCTAAGTGCTTTTAATGATGTAAACTCAGGTAAAAGTCATAACAATATTTAGAATTTTCTTTTGTTCATATACTTAAATTTTACAAAACAGTAATACTAAATTTGATTGATTTCTCACATAAATTTGTTCTATGTCATTGGGAGGTAAATGGCAGAATTTCCAGAATCTCCAACCTAGCCTTAGTTCATTTATATATCAAGAGGTATTTACCACTGCAGAGACTCCCATCTATCTGGGATAAGGGCTGGAGAGAAAATGTCCATTCTCTCCTCCCCTCCATTCCTGGTATGTAATTTGCCAGTCACCAGGGATTCGCCCATGGAGTTCCTCCCAGAAGGGGCAGTCAGGAGAAGGGGAACACAAGCCATGGAGAGAGTGTGAGTAGTAGCCGGAGGGGATGGATGTTGCCAAACCTGGTTAACAACTGTAAGGAATAAAAGCCTTTCTCCCAACCTAACATTTCCCTTGACTTATTTCAGTTAGACCCATTTCATTGGGGACCTGCCTTGGGCTGGGAACACTCTGCCCCTTGGAGCTACAGTCATTTTGGGGTAACAATAATTTACTCTTGTGATTTCAAAGGAAATTGATTCGTAAGAAACAATTTAATTTTTGCATTAGCCTAATTTTCAGGGTGACTGAATGCTGTACTGGCTTCCTCCTCATAGTAGCAGTTCACTGGTTATGTCACCAGGATTATCTCATCTCTGCTTTTACTTGGAATTGCCTCTTTCTTCATTCCCCCCACCCATCTAGCTATGCTTAGTTCCAATGTATTTCATCTCAGTTTCCCATGGCTACATATTTCTTACTGGAATTTTAGTAGGAATTTGAGGAGAGAGTTTTACAGATAACACGAGAAGTGTAGATATCAGTTTTTCTTTTTAATTTTTGTTTGCTTAGAGGAAATTTTCTTTTTAATTAAAATTTTCTTTTGATTTTTATATAGTTGTAGATATACATGCAGTTGTAGGAAATAATACAAAGTAATCCCATACACTTTATCAGTTTCATCCAATAGATTTGCCCAATGGTAACATCTTGCAAAATTACATTTTTTTAAATTTCTTTTTTTATTATTTTAATAATTTAAAATTAATGATGCAAGGCACTTTTCTTTTTTGGGCTTCATTTGGAGAAAAACAGTGCTACATTGGTTTCTTATAGTCTACTTAGAACCATCTTGGACAAAAAACAATCAAATGGGCTAAGCAACTCTAAAAAGAACAAACACAACATTTGGCTTTGAAGAAATGCAAAAAAGGAAAGTCACCTGAAAACCTAAAACTCATTTTTGAGAATCTGGTATTATGAAGCAAAGTATATTCTTTTGTTCATCAAACTGTTTTCTAGGAAAAAAATTAGGAAAGTAATAAGAATGGAGGCAATACTTGGATCATGTTAAAGTAAGCATAGTTGGCTAATATCATGATTTAAAGATTATTAATAAGGGATTAATAAGTTTAAAATAAAAGGGTAATTAAGCTATTGAATTGTACTAAAGAAGAAATGTGGCAAATTCCTGCATTAATGTTTCTGTAAGAGGCTCCATCATAAAACTGAACTGTAAAATTAGTTTAAAATGTAATATATAGAACACAAAATGATTTTTAGCAAACTTTAGTAAATTCTTTTGCTATAAATTACCCAGATTTTATAAACAAATCCCCCCTAGCTTGCATCTTGTTTAAATTCATACAAATAAATTTCAAGTATGAAAAGTGCATTATTGCAATACCTCTTTGCAAGTCCAAAATTATTGGTTTATAATAATAATAAAACTGTAACATGTCAAAAAAAAAGAGTAAAACCTTCAGTGCCATCTGTTGCAGAAGTCCAACATCTTAAAATATTGCTTGACAAGTTGCAGAGAAACAGATTTGTAAGTAATATATAAATGAAAAGGAACTACTTTGTTTATACCATTTTACATTATTACTGTATCTAATATTTTATGCTTCCCGAATAGAAATTCACATCCTCTGTAATGTTGCTGGAGTCAGCTATTCTGTGCAGTCACCACTTGCATGTTTCCAAAATCATCATCATCTTCGTGTGTTCTCTTCAAACTGCCGGTGGTATCAGAATGAACAGATAAAGACCTTTCTATCTGGAGTGGTGACATCATCGGTATTGTTAATTTTGCTAGGTAGATGGCTTCATATTCCTGAAGCTGATGAACAAATCCAGCATTAGGATTAATACAAAATCTTCTTTCTTGAACATAGGCAAATGCATCTCTGTGCTTCATTCCAAATGTTTCCATTATGTATGCAATAACAAAGGCAGCACTCCTGGAGCTTCCTGCATTTCCATGGACAAGAACTTTTCCACCAGTTTGTAAGCTCCCATCAATAAATTCTTTAGTCATGGGGAAAAAACATATTATATTTTCAACTGGATTATCTGCAATATCCAAGACTAAATATCTAAATAATTGTTGAAAGTTTGGTTTAATGAAGTTTGCTTCAATATTTTGTCTTATGCAAATTATATGTGTTATTCCATATTTCTGTAGAATAGATAGCTTGCTTTTCATAGCAGAAGAATACGGACCTAAGAACAATCCAGGTAAAATTTCCTGCATCTCTCGTCTCATTGGATAGGTCCACTCCTCAGCATCTTCTTTGCACTGTGGGAGAGAGGGGAACTCCAGCTTCATGTCCTCCGTGGTCCCGGCCCGCAGGCTTGTGGCATGGGTGGGAGTTAACCCACCAGCCCGACCCTCAGGCTGACAGTGGCGATGAAAGGAAGGAGGGCCGGTGGGTCGGAGGGCTGACGGGCAGACAGTGGGGCTTACAACTAACACACGCAGACTAAAGGATCCCAACAACTCCGGCGGCGAAGGCGGCGACAGTGGGGAAGAGGAGGGTTGGGCAGCCCATACCCTGCCGCCATGCTGCTGCCATCTCCCTCCCGCAGTCTTCAGGCCCCTCAGACCGCCGCCCAGGCTCTGGCACAAGCCCTAACGCTACCGCAAAATTACATTTTGACATCACAACTAGGAGATCACTGTGATACAGTCAAGATCCAAAACATTTCCATCATAAAGATCTTTCGTGTTACCCTGTTATAGCTATATCCACTTCCTGCTTGCTTCCACTCCCTCCTGAAACTTTGGCAGCAACTAATTTGCTCTCCATTTCTGTAATGTGTCATTTCAAGAATGTTAATGGATGAAACAGTTCAGAAAGGTACAAACTCCTAGTTATAAGATAAGTAAGTCCTGGGAATGTAATGCATGGTAACTATAGTTAACACTACAGTATTATATAAAGTCGCTGAAGAGAGTTGATCTTAAATATTCTCACCACAAGAAATGGTAGTTATGTGAGGTGATGTAGGTGTTAATTAATGCTACTGTGATAATCATTTCTCAAGATGTTAAGTGTATAAATCAACACACTGTTCACCTTAAGCTTACACAATGTTATATGTCTATTATATCCCAATAGAGCTGGAGAAAAAGACATTACAAAAAAAGAGTACAAATTTATGACATTTGTTTTGGTGCCAATGAATAATAGTCACTTTCAATATATTTTGCATAAAAGGGTAGAATTTTTATTACCAATTTAGTGAGAGAAAATGCATGACAAAGAAACTTGTGGAGAAATACAACTCTCTCTAATATTTCCTCCCAGATTTAAAATTGTAGGAACTGCATAATCAAGGTCAAGTGAATGTCTCCAAAGAAGTAACTTTTCAAACAATGTTGAGTTAAATTTATTATGATTACAACAAAGATTATCATGGTTGCCATCAAGCAAATAGAACTCACCATTCCACATGTTATTAGTTACACAAGATTTATTATCTGCCTGAAGTCTTGAACACTAACTCCAATGGAATGATCACTGAACCGAGAATCATAACACCTGACCCCTTTCAAAAACAATAAAAAACCGTAAGTATGACCTTGGACAGACTACATCACTCATTTATCTATTCACTGGTAGGAAAATTGGATCAGATGATCTCTAAATACCTGCCAGTTCAAACCAGGCTTTTGGGTTAAACTTTTCACATTATTGTGGATAAAGGATGTAAATCTATCAGTGATCAAAATGCAGCAAAAAGTTGATAATTATTTAGTTAAAAACAAAACAAAACAGTGTGACCTAGTAATCCCACTCCTAGGAATTCACCCTAAGAAAACAAAATCCACGATTCAAAATGACATATGCACCCCTATGTTTATTGCTGCACTGTTTGCAATAGCCAAGATATGGAAGCCGCCTAAATGTCCGTCAATAGAAGAATGGATAAAGAAGATGTGGTACAATGGAACGATACACAAGGGAATATTATTCCACCATAAAAAGAAAAGAAATCCTGCCATTTGCAACAACATGAATGGATCTAGAGGGTATTATGCTTAGTGAAATAAGCCAGGTGAAGAAAGACAACTACCATATGATTTCACTCATTTGTGAAATATAAAAACAAAGCAAAACAGAAGGAACACAACAGCATTAGACTCATAGACATTAAGAAATGACTAGTGGTTACCAAAGGGGAGGGGAGTGGGATGGAGGGGGATGGAGGGGGAGGCAGACTGTTGAACCACTGTTATATACATTTGAAAATTTTGAAAAAAAGGACAATAATAAAAGGATTAGAAAAAATTGATGTGTGAAGATACAAAGAAGGAGTCTGATCCATCTCCTGTCTTTGGTTAGCAGAGCAATTACACAAAACAGATATCTAGATGTAAGGACCTCTAGCTTCTGATACAGTCAAATGAAAAATGTGCATTCACAGGGTTCACCTAGTATACTAATAGATGTTCACAAGCTTCTTTTGCATGGTAAGTTATCCTGGCGACCCGGGAAAGTTTAACTTTATGACTTTCCTGTTTGGCACACTGTCAGCACTTAATAAATTTATCTTGACAAATGAAATAGTACCCGGGGGTAGTTGGGCTGTTCATGGAATTATAAGTTGTTAGTACTATCAAGGACCTCATCCATCATGCAACTATTTATTTATGTCATCTAATAATTCTCAACTTGGTTGCTCAATAGCGAAAGCTGGAGAGCTTTGAAAATATACAACACCTATAACCCACCCCCACGGCTTCTGATGTAATTGACTTGGAATGGGGCTCAGCACAGTGTTTTGTAAAGGCTTTCTGGGTGATTCAGCTAGGGGTGGAAAACAAAAGAAAACAGATTTTGCCCATTTCCATCATTTTACACAGCCAATCACAGAGATTTGAGATAATCAGTTATGCATGTTCATGTTATAGCACAGCTGGCACTTGATCTCAGACTCTACAGTACAGGGGATGATTTCTATTGGATTAAGTTTTGCACACAAAATATAATTAACTTACACAAATAAGGAGTGGAGAATAAAAAGTTTGACTCTAACACTTTTTTTATAATTGTAAAAAGAGCATGGAATCCCTTTAAGAATTTGAATAATTTATACCTTTCAGTCATTCATCATGGGTTAGTTTTTCTCTAAAGAAAAATTTGTTGGTGCTAATAGCATAGTAGGTAACATAGATAATTTTGAATTTGACCTCTACCTCCACAATTATTGTTAATACTTGGCCATATTACTCAAGTTCTTTAAAATCCAGTTTCCTTACCTGTAAATGGAAATTATAGCATTTCCTCCTTAAAACTGTTGTAAGGATTAAATGAAGTTATATATTTTAGAGAAGTCTTGATATCTATCTTTAATTAAAAAAAGCATTCCCTACATGACAGTTACCATTCTGTATTTTTATTTCTTTCCTTGGACCAGTAAATAAAAAAGTTATTTGAAGACATTTTTGTTAAGATGCAAAGATTTTGATGTCCAACTGTTTTTTTGTTTGCTTGTTTTGTTTTCCTGCTTGTTTGATTGCTACAGGGAATTAAGTCCTTTCTCTTCCTTTGATGAGAAAAAAAATCATTTTATTTATGTCTACTGGGCAAGTTCAGAATGAAGTTAGGGCAAATGTTGAGTCAAAACTGGAGCATTTTTTAAGCAAAGAAATATCACCTGTACAGCTTTCAGCAAATTTACCCCAGACCTAAGAAAGCTTCTCAAGCTCCCTGGACTGATTGCTTCCTCACTGTCTCCCATTCAATTGCTGCTTCTGTTCCATTGAATCTCCACAGGAAGAAAACTATGCCATCAGGCAAGCATGGCCACTGTACAGCCTGTTCTGCAGCAGCTTAATATGGGCACCCTGCACCACCAAATAGTCCCATTAGCCCCACAACTTTATACCACACCTTTTGCTGTATGGATGCAGCCACCCAGCAAAGAGGAACAACTCCCTGTGGATGCAAAACACTTAGGGGCCAGAGCAACTGGTCAGCACAGTGAGAGGTGAGGTCATTTCTTGCTTGTCTTAAAGGGGTTGTTACACCAAAAAGCCATGCCTTCCTCAAGCCTCATTTTTTTTTAATTGGAAAAATCTGAAGGTGTGTAGGAGGAGGGAAGGTGATGAATCATTTTTCCTACTGAAATTTTAAAAAAGAGAAACAAAGTATAAAAGGGGAGGGATTACATTAATGTGTATATATGTAAATTCCCAACCAGCTGTAAGGACCAATAAAATTAAAAATAAAAGTCTTATTCCTGCTAAGAATAAGGGAAGAAATGTCCCTCCTTTTTCTTAGAGCATTTTCTTATGTAAACTTTTAATTGTAAATTCGTTCTCTTTTGAAATCTGTATACATGCTTTTTAAAAAGCCTGTTGCAAGATTTTCAACTCAGGAATGTCCCAAGGACGTGAGAGTCATCCTGTTGAAATGGGAGCATCAGGGAGATAGCACACTGTCTCCCAGTTTCTGTGGGAGGGTAAGAGCCTGGCTTTGTTGTTTCTGTCCTCTGGTTTGTATATTGTTAGGGATTGTGGTAGACATGGGGAAGCACTGTTCAGGTCCCTCTTTGGGAAAGGCCTCCCTAACCAGCTTCCAGGAACACAGCAATTGAGAGGCTCTAGCTGTTAACATTTTCGGAGTCTGCTTCAGCCTTTCAGGCCATAACCACACTCTTCTTAGGGGCAGACCCTGGCTAAAGATGAGCAGAAAGAGTCCCACCAGTTCTCCCAATACAAGACTTGTAGAACTAACAAGCTTTGCTCCCGAGCTCTGGTCGGGCTAGGGGAGACTTTGCCTATGTGGATTATGGTAGGATGGTTCCTCCAGCCAGGAAATTTCCTTCCTTCTTTTTTGCCCCTAAATAACTTGTACTCACCTTTGAGCTCTCAGGTCAAACATGAATCCCTCAGGAAAACCTTGCTGACTGGTCCCATTTCCCAATTAAAAACTCCCATTGTGCTTTCTCTTAGCTGAATTTTGTTTTTGCAATTATTTGGTTAATGTGGGTTTCCTACATTAGCCTGCGAGAGCCATTACGTCTATTTTTCGCTTGCTGTTGTATTGTCTTGGCCTAGCACAATGGGCATAGTTACTAAAATAAACAATAAACATTTACTGGGTTGAGGTAATAGTAGAAGACATTATGAGGGATTTGACCTATAACTACCTACCCCAACCAGTCATTCAAGGTTTGGTGTTGAGAATGAAATATTTTGACACTTTTAGGATGATAGCTTCGTTGATAATGTAAAAGATTGTATAGAGGAGTGAGATGATGAAGGTAAAGACTTTAGATAGATAGGACATTAACAGGAGTGAAGGAAAGGGAATGGAGACATTAACAAATTGGAAAGGGAGATAACAGCTTAGCGAGTGTTAAATGTGAGAAGCAAACAAAGTGTTTTATTACTAGAAAAATGATAAATTCTCAGACTACTAAGAGTGAAGGCTTCTTCTTGATGAACTTTAGCCACCTAATGGGTTTTTATTTACCCTGTCGTCCTCTGTTGTGCTGAAAATAGCCAGAGAACCAGGGCAGTCTAACACTTGTCCTTTTGCTCAAGGCTGCCTCTAGCAACTTAATTATTTGTTCAGGGCAGGATGGAAATAGTTCAGTTTCCTTGCTTAGTGATTTTAATGAAAACAGGTCATCGTAAAGAGATCTCATGTTACTTTTCTAAAAGTTAAGAACAGGGAAGGCAGTAAGTTATCTATTATACTTTATGCTGATTTACTTAACCACACACAAAATGTATTATCTTACATTTTTAATGTAGAATTTATTTCTCTGAAGAAATGCACAATGCTGAACCTCC